GATTCGCACATTTGCCAGATCAACTCAGCCGGCCGCGCGAAGATCCCGTCTCGGCCATTCGCCAAGTCCGTCTAGTCCTGCCAGCCGAGCTCCCCTCCGCCTCGGATCCCGACCGCAAAGGTCTCTATTCTCGTCGGCCGTTGCCAACCGCTTCTGACATGAGGCATATTAACCGGACGCCTTGACTGACCTCGATTAGGCTGGCCGGCCACTCGTCGACTTGGCCTTTAACAGAACGCTCTGGAGGCTGGAAGCGACTTGCTCCGGGGAGCATAAAGGGCAGTGGAGTCAGTCGTCAGAAGCGTCTTCACGAGCCCCTCCAGCCCCTTCTCCCTCACACGTCTCGGGTCTGCCAACCTGTCCGATCCCTCTTCGCCTCCCACCTCCCACCTCCCGCCTCGCCCAATACCAACCTTTCTGCGATGGCATTTTTACAGTCCACTCAATCATAACCCCTCTCCCTATTGCCTTGACAACGTGTAGCCTGAACCCCTATTCAGTGCACCTTTTGATCCCGGCCAGTTTGGCACGTGGAACAGACCGAGTGCCGGAGCGATGGGTTAATGCAATTTTATGCGTTTTATACACTTTGCGTACATATTCGAAGACATGCAGACCGAGATGTTGCGGCCTTTGGTATGGTCGCCGTCTCCTTTCTGTGCATTCAAGTGGGTTCACCTCGTTTCGCAACTTGGTCGTGTTGTCAGGCCGACTTGGTTGGACGCACCGTGTCCGAGGCCCTCCGTTTTAGTAGACATGGTTATTCCCAGACGTTTCGCCGGCATCGGAGTCTTGTCTGCAACTCGTCAAAAAGACAAGATTTGTCTCTCTGGCGAGTTGTAGAGCGAGGCGGACAAGGGGCGTTCAACTAAATTGCCCTGACAACACGATCAAGCTGAGGAAACAACGTCAATCCACTTGTTTGCGTGTCTAATTGTCCCCGAGGAGTCCGGGAACAAGTGAACAAGCGACTTTATGCGGCCCATCTCGAGCAGGGACACTGGCGGAGTGTGACTCGAGTTCTGCCGCCCGAGTCTGCGGGCCAGTTGCCAGGTCGGCTGTGCTCGAGGTCTACATACGAGGTGCCATGTATTGCAGTTGCCAAGCTGAACTCCATTTCAAGGGAAATTCTGTCCCATAATGCATCAGAAGACGCTTAAATGTTCTCCAAATAGTTGGCCTGTTTAGAGCCATTTCAGTTGCGTCTTTGTAAGGGAAAGTTGAGTTTTGGAGAGTTAATTTTTAGGTTAAATGCATTTCTTGAATATATGAAGACCAAGATGTTGTAGCCTCTGGTATGGTCGCATTCTCCTTTCGATTTAGAGAAGTGGTTCTACCTCGTTGTCGCAA